TATATAAAACACACAGAAACAGAAGATTACATTTTTGAGTGTAACTAAAGAGAAACATTGCCACACATTGATTGAGGAGATTGTTTTCAGAAGCAAAGGTCTTGCAAGCATGTTGAATGTTTTCTATACTTGTGCGTTTCTTGGAAAAAGGTTTAAAGATATATTTTTATTTGCTCACCTGGAAGCCAACTACAGTCCAATGTCAAAGCCTAAGGCGACCTGTCTTTTTTTCTCCTGATTTAATCGACATCGAATGTGCAGCACTCAGTTGCTGAGTTGTGTAGAAGTGTAACTTGTTTGAATGTCCAACCATTTTAAAGCATAGCAAGAAATCAACTACATTTTTATATTTTCTCACTGAAATATGAATTATGAATTAACATGTTGTTATATGGGTGCAAAGGGTGGTTAAAAGGGCACTGTTAGGTGGTTGCTTAAAACAACAAACAAAACAAAAAAAACAAAACAGATATTTCACACTACCCTTCAAAAATCTGGGGTCATTTGGGGTTCTTTTGAAAACATTTAAATAAATCTTACCAACCCCAAATTTTTGAACAGTAGCATAATTATGAATTTTCATTGGATCAGTTCAGCTGGATCAACTTTTCTGTCATTTAACGATCACAAGTAAATGTAATTAATAATATAATCTCAAATTAATATAATTTTTTTCTCCACAATTATAATGTTGTGATTCCTATACAGTAAACAGACTTGTAGCATTTACAAAGATAAAAAAAAAGTAAAACATTTAAACTAGTTGCATTAGCAAGCACCACTAATTAAGCTTCTCACAGTCTATCATAATTCACCATAATATTTCTTGTCCAGGTCTGTATGAAGACAAAGTTTTAACAATAAACGGCAAACAGTTTGACCAGAGACCAGTACTTTATATGCAAATCCATCCTGCAACAGCTGGAGGGGCCAAGAAATGACCCTTCATCCAACCCTAATTTTCACACACAGCACTGTAAATGTGCCTTTCAAATACACACAAGCACACACTTCATCAAGCTGATTAATTGCCACCCAATCACAGCAAGGTACTCACCTCATTTTTCATAATCACGCCAGCATATGATCCCAGATTGAGTCATGTCCGCACGCTCCTGTTTATTACTTTTTAATGCAACCATAATGACTGCCCCGCTGTTCCCATTGATCAAGAGATCCCATACTGAGAAACCACAGAGCCCGGTCCGTTTTTCAATATTACTCACTTAATATTACCAGGTTGAGCACAACATGATAGTCTGCTGTAATGGCATGTCAGTACTTATATTCTGCATGACCAGAGGGAGGCTAATGCTTGGGGACTATTAGAGGCACAAAGAGGTGTTTGTGTGAAAAAGCCATGAAGAACTATGATCCATGTGACTCCGTGTGACTTTGTTCAAAGGCCTCTACATAGTTTCTCCTTCTATCAGAGCAAAGCAGAAAGCAATTTTGAAAAGCAATCGAACACAGGTAAAGGGATATTGGGAGAATGTGTCTGGATACCGTTACTAGCTTTGACCTTGGACTAGTGGGAATACTATATATTTACAGTATGTGTGTGTGTACTGTATGTCTCCAAGCTATATGAGTGCCTTTACCTCAATGCATTTGATCAGAATTTAGACATGTATGTGGGCTGATTTGAATAGACATTAACAAGCAAACCAAGCTAAAGTTTCTGCAATTCGGTGGCGGAATCCACATCGTACTTGAGACAAATGGCCGTAACACACAGAATTTCACACCTGTCCATCATATGCTGACGGTCTCTGTGGGTGGGAGCTTTGAAACTAGCACAACCTGCATCCGTTTATGGCACAGTTGTCATTACCATTCCATTTCATTTTTAAAGATATGCAAAATAAGAACATGCTGAAGGAGAGAGGCAGCATGAAGGATGCAACTTAATAATGAAGATTGGAAAATGCAAAAAAATAATTGTAGTATTCTACTTTTGCAATTTAAATTATAATTAATATCAGACATTTATCCCCAAAATATAAATAAAAAATAAATGTCTGATATTAAAATTCAACAATTATATAAATAAAAATATTACATAAATGGAAAAAAAAAATTCATACAAATACAAATGAAGAGTTCATTTGCAAAAACAGACATTTTTTAAATTGTTAAAAAATCATGTTTATTTTTAATCCTGTATTCCAATTAATATCAATCAAACTGCAGTTTGGTTGTTTTGAATAACTAATAATAACTAACTAAAAATACAGCTAACTAAACAATAAAAACATGATTTATGAAAATGAATAAAAACAGAGTTATCTGTTTGTGCAAATAAACTCTTCAAATATTAAAATCTAAAATCAATTATTTTAAATGATGTAAGTGAATTTAGGCATCACATTATAAATGTAGACTGAAATATTGATATATATTTTTCATTCAACAGTGGTGATAAATTTACAGCAATTTTAAGATAACTTTAAGTTTAAGTGAACATAAGATGATGGCAAAGGTTATACAAATGTAAAAATTTGGGGGGAATTAGCATGAACATTGAAATATCCAATTGCCATCCAAATATTACATAAATGGAAAAAAAAAATTCATACAAATACAAATGAAGAGTTCATTTGCAAAAACAGACATTTTTTAAATTGTTAAAAAATCATGTTTATTTTTAATCCTGCATTCCAATTAATATCAATCAAACTGCAGTTTGGTTGTTTTGAATAACTAATAATAACTAACTAAAAATACAGCTAACTAAACAATAAAAACATGATTTATGAAAATGAATAAAAACAGAGTTATCTGTTTGTGCAAATAAACTCTTCAAATATTAAAATCTAAAATCAATTATTTTAAATGATGTAAGTGAATTTAGGCATCACATTATAAATGTAGACTGAAATATTGATATATATTTTTCATTCAACAGTGGTGATAAATTTACAGCAATTTTAAGATAACTTTAAGTTTAAGTGAACATAAGATGATGGCAAAGGTTATACAAATGTAAAAATTTGGGGGGAATTAGCATGAACATTGAAATATCCAATTGCCATCAATACCAAAAAATATTTTAAAAATCTATGTCAGCCAATAACCAATTTGTTATTTACTGTATTGAGCATACTTAACCATCATTGAAATAGAAACTGTTATTTACTATTTTTAATTCCATTTTGTGTGAAAAAAAGTCAAATTTTGGCAAAGATAGAAAGACATCGAATATTGAACATATATGTAAAGTTAATCAGATTCTATGCATACACTGCATAATGTTCCAAATAAGCACACAATATAGCATGGTAGTATATATCTCCAAACATAACCTAGGCCTCCTTCATTCCTTCCTGGCCATGATGCTGTAGCCAGAGGAAAAACACAGCCACATAGTAGTTGATCATGTTTTCGATCTGATTTTACGATCACTGAACTGGAAGCTCCACTTTCTTTCGGATGTCAAGTAGTAAAGAAAAGTGAGACAGAAACTGCTCCTGACTCTGAAATGAAGTTACAACCGAATCAGAGCACAAGGAATGTGTGTAAAAATGTGATTTGGACGTGATCTGAGAGGACCATATCAATTACTAGTACACAAGAGAGTGAGGTATGCCAGGGGGCGTGAGCATTACTGCTGCCAATTAGCAGCTGGAGCCTAATTCAGCCAACGGCAAAATCACATCACATGGCCAGTGAGAAAGGCTCAGTCCACCGCTTAAAATAACAATTACTGAGACTGCCAAATAGCCACAGGCAATCCTTCGAAGAAAAACAAACTAAAAAGAACTGGATGCATGCAAATAAAAGTCAAAAATCCACTCATATTATCTCAGTTTATGTGCATGACAAATAGGTTCACTACAGCACAGAAGACAGTCTAAATATATGGATATGCAGTATTTACGTAGAAACCTATAGGGTGAATTAAAAATGGTGTTATTACAATAATCCAATTTGAAATAAATTAGCAATAATGGATGCAGAAACATTATCTGCCAAAAAAATATTTTAACTGCTATAAATATGTATTTTCCTGCTTTTTTATCAAGATAACACACTCATTTGAAACAAAGTGTCAAAATATCAGATATGTTCACTGGGCCTTGCCATACAAATGCGCCCTGATAGACCCTCTGCTGTCTATTATGTTGTTGAAATTAATCAAACAACAATATTAACAAGAATCGAAAGCAACTTGCTGCTCTTAATTTATTTATTTGTTTTTAATTACTGACTGTTTACTTGAATAAATACTTGGAAAACCTTGATGCAATGCTTGATAAATTAAGAAATACTTCAAGGCTACATAACACTGCTGTAATTTAATTAGTTAATATTTATATTTACACGACCATTCAAATGTTTCAGGCAATATTTTTTGGACGTTTTTGAAAGAAGTCCCATATGCTCACCAAGGCTGTTTATTTGATCAAATAGGCAGTTAAAAACAGTAATATTGTGAAATATTATTACAATTTAAAAGTTTTTTTTAATTTTAATATATTTTAAAATGTAATTTAATTCATAATAATTTTCAGAAGCCATTAGTACAAATTATTATTCAGAAATAATTATAATATGCTGATTTGGTGCCTTATATTTTCAATGTTGAAAACAGCAGAGCTTTTTTTGTATAAAACATATAATTTTTCTAGATTTGTTGATGAATAGAAAGTTCAAAAGAATGGCATTTATTGAAATGTTTTGGAAGGTTAGAAATCTCCTTACTGCCAATTTTGATCAATTTAATGCACCCTTGCCAACCAAAACTGGGAAGGAAAAAAACCTGACCCTGAACTTATGGTAGTGTAACTTTGACAATTAAATTTAATAAAATAAAATAAAAATAACAAAATAAAATATATTTTTTTTCCCATGGCACTGAAATCATATTCAAGATAAGGTGATGCTCCCCTCAAATGAAATTCGACTAAAGTTTTACATGCTTTTATTTGGACAAAAATGATCAGAATCAGTCAACAGAATAAAACACGCACACGCACTCATCCACTCAGGTTACTCACTGCAGGTGGAGTCTGCTTCATCCGAACCATCTGGACACTCAGGTTCTCCATCACACCTCCATCGGGCCGGGACACACTGCCCATTCTTACATGCAAAGTCTGTTGTGGCACATGTCTTTTTTGCTGTTGAAGAAGAGAGAGAAAGCTAAGTATAAAGCATATACTGTTAATGCTGTTTACAAAAGAGGTCTATTTGAGGTCAAAGGTCAGTTTGGATGTACTTGCTTTTTCACGTCTCTAGCTCAAGTAGAAGATGGAATGACTTTTTTCCAACAACAGTGAAACAGACCGCACTGCTAACTCTAGTCTGCAGGAGATGCCATGACAAATTTAGATCACTTGAGAAACAATAGTAGACTTGCACTTGATAACTGTTCTAGTGCCGAAATAAAGAAAAACTTGAGCAGAAAAAGCCTCACGCTTCAGATTTAAACAACAAACGGCAAGCAATATGAGGCTGAGTGCACCGTGCATCTCTGTTGTTTTTTCTTGTTGCGTTTATAGTTTAATTGGGAAGAGAGTTTGAATGAATTGAACACACAGCTCCAGCAGGAGCAATTACAAAGGCCCAGGTATGCATCACTGTGAATTTATGAACCCTTACTTTTGTTTGTGTATGTGTGTGGATAAAGACTGCTTTGTAAGAGCCTGAATGGAGAGCGGTTGATGATGTTGTCAGCTCTCTGGGAGGGAGACCAATAAGAGCTTTATCAGTCAGAGAGGACACAGTGATTTAACACCGTTCACACGTTCGACTTTTATCATGTGCATCAGTTGAACACATGCAGTGCCTGGTCTGGGTGGGTGTGCTATTCTCGAATGCCAAATATTAGTTCTGCTTTTCCTCCAATCGAAATGCTTATAGTAAATCAATCATCTGAAACAACATACTTTATTTTAAAGGTAACATGAAACATTCCAAACCTACGTTATTTCCATAATCTTATGTAATTCTAGGGAAGAATAGGACAACATCCAGAACAGACAACCAAAAAAAATGATGATGGCTTGATGACAGAAGGAATTTGTGTCATCAGATGTAAGAAAGAGATAAGTTGTTTTAGAGGCTAAACAAGCTATTACATCCTGATAAAAATGTGGAAAATGTCTATGAGATCTGATATTTTGACTTTGTGTTGTATCAGAATGTTATCTTGATAAAGTAGCAGGAAAATTCACACCAAGTCAATTATGCAAAATAGGGCCAAGAAAGTGCATTGACAATTTAACTATGCACATTGACAACAATAAAGTACAATGACTTTTCAAATGTTAAAAAGTACACACTCCCATCAAAATCTAGTATAAAACAGTTCATTTCTTTAACTGAATTAACATAAATATTAGATGAAAATCTCAACTTAAAACACACACACACACAGACACACACACTGATATAAAATATAGGGACCCTTTAAAAAAAGTCAAACAGATCAGAGGTGAAAATCATTTGCGTTGGTTTGAGAAAATGTTGAGTTGGTTTGAGAAAACGTGCAAGCTCAAGTGTTGGTTTTACTAATTCTCCTGTAGGACTGCCAATGCAGGCAGGCAGCTTCAAGCAGCCACTCATGGGATGTGCTGATTAAAAGATAGTATGTATTACAAGCAGCAAATACTTCATTATGCAGATACTCACACAAGGCACACATACATAATCATAGACTGCATGTACACTTCCATGATTTGTGAGCCATACAAAAATCATAAATAACGCACAAGGCTGTGCAAACAATAAGTGCACACACTGACATAAAACAATCATCATGAGTCATTTATAAACATCAGGCCTGTCGCTGTGCAAATGTTATTTTTTTTCTATTTCCCTGGGACTTCCAGGAATTGAGTGTGTATTAGTGTGTAAAAACAAAGCAAGAGGTGTGTGTGTGTATGTGTATGTGTGTGTGTGTGTGTGTGTGTGTGTGTGTGTGTGAGAGAGAGAGAGAGAGTTTTCTGCACAAGTAGGCAAAGCCATGACATTCCCAAGGTCCCATGCTCGAGAGACCACACTGATTACTGACGGACTGCTGATCTGTGATGGTTAGCGGTAGGTGACCTCTTTGTGTCCGCTGCCAGCGTTCCACAGATTGGGCAGTCTGCACGGGACACAACTGCAGCTCAAGGTCAGCATCCTTCAATTTTCACAAACCATTTCCTCTAAGACTTCACAGAGAACTAAGGCCGCAGTCTAAACATGCTTGACACCTTCAGCTTCCTGAAAACTGCCGAATTACCAATGCAATTTTAAAAAGCGATGGAGCAGATGGGAAATTGTCATTCAATCTACTTTAGCATGGTCTAAACAGCTACTTAAACACTATGAGCTACGCACTTTATTTGCTTATTTTGTGGTAACAAACTAATGCCTGAAGGTGATTAAGACTTGAACAGCTTTTTGAAGCAGTAGTCATTTATAAGATTCTAGGCACTCTTTGCTGGTCTAATACTTGTTAAGTTTGATGTAAAATTCAATAGTGTAAGCAGCTGGAATAAATAAATCAGTGATACCAGATCAGAGGTCTATAGCGTGTTGTTTGGGGAGGTGCTGTGATTGACTGGCTGTGGTTTATGTGGTTCTGAGTACTCGTTTGAGATAAGAGAGCCCACCTATTATAGGATAAGGCAATCGCAGAGCCATCTTGAGCAGGGCTATAAACATGGACAGGTCATAATCGTAAATGGAGTCTGTGAAGAGAGGTGCCTCAGTGGGTCACCTTTTTCTGGTGGGATCCCTTTCTTTATGCACTTGTCTGTTTCAGTCTCTCTGTCATTATAGATGGAATCGTATAACATTTTAAGCACAATGCTGGCATGAAGGCTGAGCGGTATATTGAATATTTGGACTATATTGATGATTTTGTTCGCATCATACATATAAAAATTATGAATATCTTAATAATTAAAGCTCTGGTCATTAAGAAATTAAGAAGAAAACAGTAGACACAAAACTAAGGTATAAATATAAACAAAAAATATTCCTCCTATTATTCCTCCTGAAATGGAAAACGTGATTAATAAAAAATTTTTTTACTGTGTATTAAATTATTTTTATTGTATTTTTGCATTTTATTAGTGAACATTTTAACTTACTAAGCATCAATCGCTATCATTTGAAAGTCAAATGGATTAAGAGAATAGCATTTTCATACTTAATATTTGGTTCTTTTTAATGAAAGAAAAAAGAATTAACAAATCAGCGCTTTAGAAATCAAAGAATAACATGAAACAAATATATAGCTTGTTATAAAAGGTTTGTGTATATGGCTGAAAGACAAAAATACACAGAACCATGTACAATTCATACACTACTAAATTTCCACCCACTACAATATAGTTCTGTAAGATTTGCTGCCTGTATGCGTTTCTGAGACTCCACTTGTTTAGTAACCTATACTTATAGCACACACACACTGTGAAAGGTGAAAAGCATTGTGCAGGTCTCTGTGCATGCTGAGAACTACATGTGAGCATGTGTAAGAAAGAAAGAGAGGAGGATAAAGCAAGTCAAGGGAATCTATCGATACAGTATGTGACAGAGAAATATGGGAAAGGTGAGAGAAAACACCACCCCATAAGCAACTGCATGTAAAACCTACTGGTTACATGTACTGAATGTATGTGAAGGTGTCTGTGCATTGACTGGTCAGTTCACCAGCTGCCAATGAACTACAAAGGTGCAGATGTGAGGAGATCTACAAGAACATCTGACACCCTGAAGAGAAAAAGGGCTTTTTGAAACACACACACACACGCGTGCGTGCACGTGCACGCGCACACGCACACACACACACACACACACACACACACACACACACACACACACACACACACACACACACACACACACACACACACGCACACACGCACGCACACGCACACACGCACACACAGAATAAAACATCAAATGCGAACCAACACATCCAGAAAACACCAAGGAAAGTGATGGCCATAGAATTCATTCATAGTTATACGTGTTGGAAACAGATCTAGCAATACAATATGATTAGGTATGATTATGTTAATTGCCCTGAACTGCCCTGAATTTTATGTAAATCACAATAATATTTTTGTACTAAAATATTTTTGCTAATATTTTTAATTGTTTCCATATACCGGCAAAAACATATTTTTACATATTCATATCACCATACATCTGTTTACTTTACAATATAGTTAGCCTATGTGCCATGCAAAGGAGCACGTTTCAACCTACTGCTAAACATTCTGCACCATTAAACTTAAGCTGAAATGCAACTCGTATAAACTAATTATTCACTGGCTGCTCTGCCCAGGAGTAACAGTTGAAACAAAAAAAAAACAGATTAACAGAATGGCATCAATAAGCTCATGTTTTACTTAAATTAAGTACTGTACTTTAAATAGAAATGTCTTTTTATCATTAGTTACGCAAGGAAAAAAGTCAAAACCAACCTTAACAGAATAAACTGAAATTCACTGCATTTTAACAACTGCTCCCAGATTCAAAAGCTGCTATTTTATGTCATGTTTTGAGACAACACTACTTACGACCTACTAATTTCGTATTGCCTTAAAAACAAATGATGCAGCCGAATTAAGTGCAGAATTAGTTACAAACTAGATTTAAGTTTGAACTTACGAAAGGCTGGTGCAACCCTACCCAGACTTCGCCTCAAGTAAAAGTCTAGCAAGACTAGCGACCTAATGTCACACTACATTTCATCTTCTTGCATACTACGAGTAGTGGTCAATCTCTTTTCCCCCATAGATACTACATTAAAAAAACTACAATTCTTGATTCTTGCCGTAAGAATATCAACAGTATCATGAAGTAAAATATTGCAATACTTTGAAATATTGTAGTTCCCCCACCACCTAATTCCAATGTTTGCACCTAGAAACTCAGGTATCAACTCTGGGAGTGCAAAGATGAAAAAAATTAACTAGGAATAAAATTAGAAATAATAAGCAAACAGCATGCAAAGGTAACAAGAAGATTAAGGCTGAAACCCAGGTGGATTTCAAAGGGCACAATTGAACTCCTTTGAGGAAGTGAGCAGATAAAGCCCTGTGAGCACAGCTTTACACTGACGCTTCACAGCTCAATACCACACACTAATCTGCCTCTGCTGCTTCTGTATGCAGAT